GTCTTAATCTGAATGTGGATGTTTAAAGATAAGTAAAAACTGAAGTTCTCACAGATATGTCTTAAAAACTTACTCATGGAGCTGCTAATACATGTGCTGCAAAGGAATGCTCGAGTTGGGTTTTCCAGAGGGATCAAAACTTGTGATGAACTGAAGAAATCATCCTGAACTACCTTGAACATTGGGAGCAAAACCAGATTATTGTACAGAATTAGCTGCAGAAGTGGTCTTAAAGGGAGGAAAGCACATCAAGGTAAAATAGGTATCTCATGTAGGGAATAAATTAGGACAAAGTCTGCAAATAGAGTCTGGGATAGGGATAAGACAACAGGAAGTTCTTGTAGCTTGCTGAAGCTGAGAGCATGCACTGCTTTCTGGAGATCTGTGTGCTTCCCCATCTGGTGGCTGCCCAGACAAAACAGGAGAACCATCTGCCTTCCAGCTGGTCTGTCAGAAGGTGCCTACCGGGAAGCTCACGTGTTTGCTTGTGGAGCCTGCCAGTCCTTGCAGCCCAGAGATGGGATGTGAGGATCAACAGGGGAAAACAGGGAATAGAGGAATGCACACAGACAGGGCTCTCTTCATCATTAGAAACTTTCTGTGTTGCCCACTTGTTTGTATGAAGGTGCATCTTTCCTCTGGTGTTGTCTGAACAAGTAGCGATATAAAAACCAATACCTAATTTTTCTTAAAACTTCAAACATACAATCTTGCACCTGTTTGTTTTAACCTATGTTAATTAATGAGTAGGAATCAGCTTAAAAGGTGGTGCATGGAAATCTCAGACCTGAATGCTGACTTTCCTCATCTTTCCTGAAAGTATGTACAAAACTTACTAAAAGGATCTCAACACTCACTGGCAAACAGTAGCTCCCTGTAGTGGAGCAAGACAAAAATGGTGTCTTGCAGGTTTGTCAGTTTGCAATAAAATCAGAGATATTTTGCTGGAAAGTTCACTTTAGATTCATGGATTGCATATTGGCTTCTTGTTGCCCACTTTAAACTTTTATTGAAACACTTAGAATCATAACAATGCTTAACATTCAGAAGCCCTCCTAACACCCCCAGTTTCAGAGGCTTAGTCTGGGATTTTTTTGTTTGCTTTGCATAACGAGTCGTTAAATCATAAGAAGCAGAAGGATTGCTGTGAAAGTCAGCACATTCTGCTCTTCTCTGTAGTTCTGCAAAGGGAAGGGAAGAGGGAGAGGGGCAGTGCCCGGCTGGGTCACAGACACTGGGGAGGGGACAGGATGGAAGCTGAACCTCGCTGGGTAGAGGGATGGAGTCGCTTCAGTCCCTAATGAGGTTTACTAAGAACAGCATTGGGTTCTTTGCCAGTCTTGGCAGGGGCCAAGGGTATTAGCCATGTGCAGGGGTTGAAATAGAAATCAAGGTTTATTTTTAGCACCGGTCTCTTTAGGGCATATTGGAAACCTGATCAGGGAAGGGAAGTACTGTCATGCTCAGTGTGAGGGAGGCTCCTCAGCACCTGCACTGTCGGTGGATCGTGAGCTGGAAGTGAAATTGGGAGAGTTGGATTTATATAGAATGTCAGCTCCTGGTGCTTCTGTGGGTTTGGTTTATCTCTGATTTGCTTGGCCAGACCTGGGGTACTAAATGGAGATGAGGGCGCAGAAGGAAAACTGCTTCCCAAATTACCTAATCATTTCATGGCTCAAATAGCTCTATTTTATTATGCATTAAAGCAGATATTATTATTGGCCTGATGCATAGCTTATACTTTTACTAATTTTACCTGGAGCACTTAAGGGTAGATTACTGTAAAATAAACATGCACATTACGCTGATCACAAAGTATTGTTGTGAAAGACTACTGTGGGAGGGCAAGCTCAGAATAGAAATGAGATTTAATTTGACTCTAAAAGAATTTTTCTTCTCCAGGGAGTTTGCTGAATATGTCCATGAAGGCACCCCCCCCCATAATGCAACATGTGACACAGATTCTAGTGAAGTGGTTGTTAACTGGTTTCCTGCTCTGGGGTATCCTGATTCATTATAGCTGTATTAGGCTTATTTTACAGAGATATATTTTGTGGAAAATTGTTTTCCATGGAGCTTCACTCCATAGCAGACTGCTACAATCATTATGGAAAACTAGGCAAAGAAATTACAGTTATCTGTGCCAAAAAAATTAAATATATTAATTATTAAGGTTTCTTTTATCATATTTAAGCAAAATAAGATAGGTATTTTTTAAAGATTGCATAGTGCAGCAATATGCAATGCATTTTCTTTTACTGTAGTAAAATGTGGACTTAGAAAATCCATTTGTATTTGTATTGTAAATTTACTGTGAAATTGTCAAGGGCCGTAAAACCTGTGTGTTGACCAGGGACATGGTGAAATTGAGCTCACATTTGTTAGAGATGTATCTAATGTAATGTCCATTCCCTGTTTATTAATCTTTTGTTCAGATCCTCAGTTCACATTTGATTCTGGCTTTCTGTTGGTTAAATGGATCACGTCCATGTGACACAAAGGTGCATGCCTTGTGCCTTAAATCTGCCACTTTCAAATGTGTAAGCACATTGTTTCTATGCAAATAATGAAGCATCAAAGGAGTGAACATAAAATATTTTATGTGACATACAAAAAACCTTGATATGCAAAGTCATCTGGCTGGGTATTTCTAGAGTTGTTTCACCTCTGCGTCCTCTGCAAGCTGAACTGTTTCTGTAACCCACTTCCCTGTCTTATAGAACCCCAAGTAATCTTCTGCGACCTTAATTAATTAAAATAAACGAATTGCTTTGCAGATGTGACACATTTTTAAATCCGTGCCTTCTAATCATGAACATTATTCCAACTATATTTTTGATTGAGTAAATAAATACATAATCCCCCATATCCATTATGGCTTGTTTGTTCAGCAAGATTTCAAATAGTAAAATACTTCTGCAAGTAAAATAAAATTAATATTGTACCTGTTTGATTGCAGGTTGCTTCTTACTATAACTTCATTATGGAAATTTGGGTATTTAAACTTGAGAGTTGAGGCAAAATTCCAGTGTTGGTCTTAACTGAAGCTGGTTCAGGTGCAGAGTGAATTTGTTCTGTTGGGATAATTTCCTGCCCGGGTTGTGTTGGCTCAAGCTGCCTGGGCACTTCTTTCTCCTCTCTTGAGGAAAGATGTACCTGTATTTCTATATTTTTCTGAAATCCAAATGGTATTTGAAGAAGCTTAATGATCCTTCAGTCTTTGTGATGTACAAAGATGTAATTTGATATGAATGCCCTGGCTGTACATTTCTGCTCTCAGAGCACCTGCAGTGGGCTGCGTTTCCTCTGACTGTTTTCACTCCAGTTTGTGTTAGAATAGATAATTCTGTTGTTCTCCACTTGATGTTTTTTTGGGCTGGATTCCCACCCATGTGACATGAAACAATGTACAAAAATCGGATTTTTGTCTGACTTGTCTGATCTAGATAGTGAAAATACAGTGAGCCCTTTTTAAGCTGTTTTTTTGCCAATTGCTAATCTCATCCTGTTGTAGTATATCTGGTCTCTGACTTGTGTGAAAGGAGCCTCAGAGATGTATAGGATGGGGTTGAGGAAGACTTTTGTTTGCTGCTGCAGTGAAAAATTAATTCAAGACGTGGCAACAGCTGCGGGTGACAATTTAGAGTTGCTGAATAAGTATTGTAATCAGCATTTATCACTGAAATCACATGGGATTAAATACTTTGAGCTGATTGTTCTTGGGCACAGCCTTAGGGAGGGTTATTACCATGACACAACTAGTTGTCATGGCAATGCATGGAGAAGAGGGAGACTCTTCCTTCCTCTTTTGCATTCTGCCCTACTCTTATTAAAGGGAAGTCAGATCATTGGCAAAGTTGTAGTCTTCTTTTTAAAAATATAACAGCAGTTTGTACTATTGGCCCTTCATGTTCTGGTTGAGATCACAGCACGTTACATGTTCCTTTTGTGGATTTGCCTTTTCTTTGTGAAACTGGCCTCAACTTTCTCATGTGTGGGTGGTTGTGTCATTTGTTCCCTTGCTTCCCCTGAAGTTGGGCTTTTCCCTGGAACCCAGCTGAGCTCCCAGAGTCTGTCACAAGGTCAGAACAAGGTGGCAGCGTGTGAGGATGCTGTTGGAGCTGTGCAGAGCACTGGGGTAATGCTGTCTTACAGGTTAGCCTGCCTGCTTTCCCTGCAAAGCTTCACCTTCACACCCTGTCAGGTGATAAGTGAAGGTTGATACCAAAACAAAGAAAATCTGGGGAAAGTGATACAGTAAATTGGTCTCCCTGACTTGTTAATGGGTTTTGTTATTCAGCAAAATTAATATTGATAGCATTTCCTTTCTGTGTGATGATCTGTGAGTTGTAGCCCTGCATTTTGCTGAAGTCACCTTGGTGAAACTCAGATAAGGTGAATGGGTCTTTGCACAAATGCTCAAATTACTGTTTTGGAGTCTAATTTATAATTAAAATTTATTTTTGAAGATCTAGTTTCAGAAGTATGTTGTAAGCATCCCTTAATGGTTTATTTTATGCATCTAAAACCCTTTCTCTTTCATGTCATGAAGTAATGACAGGTCTTCACAGACCTCTCCCTGCTTGGGTCTCATCAGAATATGATTCTAGCAGTGCTAATGGACTATTACATATGTGTGTCCAGCCCACAAATGCTCATGTGGTAGCAAAGAGTTTTTATTATTAACTGTAAGTCAGACATAACTTTGCAAAACAGTGGTGTTTGTCTTAGAAGAGTTAATAAATAAGTTTGATCTTTGAAACTCTGTAGTCTTAAAACATAAAGTTTGGTAAATGTTTTTGCAGTGAAAAGCTATGCCAGGTCTCAAGTCTCATTTGACAAGTTTTTCCTTACAAGTTGAGCAGCCTCCAGTTAGTTTTTTTAATAAAAACATCGACAACCTCAAACAGAATTTTATGGTTTTGGTTTAGGTATTTATTTAATGAGTGTTAGTTGTGGAGTTTTTCTTAATGTGGATTGATTTTTTTCTCACAGTTGCTGCAGCCCAAGCCATAGCAGAAGAAAGAAGAAGCCAAAGTGGCATTAGCCCTCTTGCAGTCCAGACCTCAATAAAGACAGCAACTAAACCAGGTATAATTACAGGTCATTGCTCTTAATGAAGTGCTGGGCTCACAAGGGAAAGTTAGTAGGGATTGAAACAAATATATTTAGAGAGAAGTTTGGTGCTCTTTCTTCAGGAAGCATCTGAGCATCTGGTAGATGGTTTGTAGATCTGGGTTTGATGACAGATTTCTGCTTTTGACTGGCTCAGAATCCAGCTGAAGTTGCCTGTCTTGTAAGCAGGGTGTGACAACAAAGATAAATGATGGTAACTGGGCAAGTTACCAACTCACTTCTTGCTGAAATTAAAGTTTTTATACCTGCAAAGACTGCTTAAGTCTTGGTTCTGCTTAGTCTGCAAATGAGCTGTCCTGCAGTGCTCTGAATTTGTCATGACAGGTGAACTATCTGTTCCCAGATGACATTTTCCTAAATTCCTGTCATTCTTGTTTATGGGAGTTAATATGTGCAAGAATGAGGATCAGAGCTGAATTTGGAATAGGGTATATTCTCACATGTCTGGCTTCTTAGGCTTTCTTTTGACTATGCCTATTGAGCCTTTAATATGATGTCTGCTTTCTCTTGCACCTATTAAAAATAGAGTTGTGAGGGATTGGAAAGAGGGAAAAGGAGGCTGTTCAGCTTTCTATGAATTTTTCAGATGGTATCTTTAATCTCCATATAAAATGTGCAGTGATATGGGGGTGTGTGCATCTCTTAGGAAGTTTCATTCTCCTTTTGATAGGAAAGACTTTTGACTTTTTATTTCAATTTGAATATTCAAAGTCATTGACAATTATGTGTCTTCCAATTTTTTTTGACAGTGATAGATGGTTCCATGCTAAGAACAGAAGAAAGGCAAAGACTGGCCAGGGAGCGTAGAGAAGAGCGGGAAAAGCAACATGGTATTCTCATGTTTCACTTAAAAGAAAATTTTCTAAAATGTTTCTGTTAAAGGAATTACTGTCCCTCTTACTCCTTGTTCTGTCACTTTTTGTCAGCTTGCTGGTGACAAGAGACAAGGTCTGCTCTTGGTCTTCCATCAGTGTCCATTAGTGTCCATCTGTGAACCTGAATGAGGAAGTTTTTGATTTGAGAGGAAAACACTGTAGAGAGTTTTAGTTTGTTGAAGCTCTATGTCACTTCTGACCTTCCATTTCCTAGTGACCACCCAGCAAATTTAGCCAATTCCTTATTGAAAGCCTTAACAAAAACACTTTGGAAAAGAAAAATTTTAGCTTAGAACTCCTTCCAATAAGCCTGAAGACTGACATTTGGAGAGTGCTGATTCAGAGAAAACCAAAAAAGATTTAGCTACTTGAATGGCTTGTTTGCCTTGAACACTGCTTCCCTTGTTACCCAGCACACTGAAATGACTCCTGTATTGAAGTGTCAGCAATATACACTTTATCTTAGCAGGGAATCTGAGACTAGAGAACAGCAGAAAACTCTTGCCCAGCTTTATGCTGTTTGTGATGTGAATCAGTGCATGTGTGTGTAGCAGGAGATGAAAGGGTCACAGTGGGCCCTGGAGCCCTGGGTCTTGGGCTCCCAGCTTGTGAGAAGAGATGTCTCTCTGAGCTGTATGTTTGTTTCTCAACATAAAAGCAAAGACCCCCAACAACAGGAATTATTGTGTCATCCTGATATGGGAACAGGGTAGTATTATGATGCATATAAAACTCAGAAATATTTTGGGGGCCCTGTGTGTAGATGCTGCCTGTGGTGTCATTATCTGTCAGTATTGTTGGTGTCATTATCTGCTCTCCTGCTTCATTCCATCTGTCTGGCCATGGAAAATACCCTGTGCATTCTAGCTTTGTGTCACAGGACCTGAGGCTTCCTGTTGAACTGCACACAGCTGTTCCTTGGTGGAGGCTGCAGAGAATAGTGATATCACTGTTTTGAACTCCGATGCAGGAACTGTAGGGTCCTCCCATCTTGTCACTCAGTGCCTTAAAGATTACTATTTACTATATTTTGTTCTAAAAAATTAAATAAAGATACAACACAGAAAATTCAACTTTTTGATTTTTAATTTACTGCTTCCTTTCAGAGACATCACCATTATGTTGATAATAAAAGTATATGCTTAATATAGGGAATATACATATCCTGATATTCCTGTCTAGACAGTAAGGCCTAGTGGCAGGCAAAATTCGAATTCCACTTCCAACCTGGGGACATAATTAAAGATGAGTCTGACATCTGTGATGTCATCCACCTCTGCAAGCTCATCTTCCTGTACATTTCCATTTCAAGTGGTAAGAATTCTGCTTGGATAGTCTCTTGCTTGTAAGTTGCATTGCAATATCAATGAATGGCTAAGTTTGATTTTATTTTTTTCTTCAAAATATTCTTACAGCTGCCAAAGAGACACAAATCCTTGAAAAGGAGAGAAAAGCAAAACTCCAGTATGAAAAACAGTTAGAAGAAAGGCAGAGAAAGCTAAAAGAAATGAAGCAAAAAGAGGAACAACGGAGGGCAGCAGTGGAAGAAAAGAGGAAACAAAAAATAGAGGAGGAAAAGGTAACATTCATCAAAGTTCTATAGTTTAAAATAACTACATTGTTTTCCTACATTACCATGCTCTGAAGTGGTGTGAATGAGAGACTTAGGGAAATGATGAATGTGTTAGAACATAGAAGTACTTTCCATGTCTATAGTGGGCTATGTAGGCGTATGTCCACGTTCTCCACAGAGCTTTAGCTACAGCTGAGGCACTTGGCATTTCAGGAGCTGTGGCTGTTTGACTTCTGGCTATTTTTCACATGAGCAAAAACCCCACCCCATATTCTTAGATTTCCAGATGCCTTCAGAGCACTTTGTAGAGTATGTCTGTAAATCACCATGGGTGACAGCTCTTGGACTTCTTTTATTCTGTGTCTTGCTTTCATGGAGCCCTGCTGTGGCCTCACATTCTCTTAGTTCTTCTACATCAGAATTCATTCCTGTATGATGAAAGGTGGTGATGTTATCTGTGTATTTGTCATTGGCTGCTTTGAACTGTGTAGTGACTGTTCTCGCTGGCCATTGCTCTGACTACACATGGACAGGCAGAGCAGTGTGTGAATTTGGGACTCAGTGGATAGAAGCTGATAGCAGAAATAAATACATGAAGTTATCCCATCCTTTTGACAAGTCACTCTGTTAGTGCATATTAAATGTGCAAGTTCTGAAAGGATTAATTTCCAGGGAGTCAGCAGTGGAAGCATCTCACATCTGTGCTTTCATAAGCTGGTTGTAAGAACTTGCTGTGGGTCATTGGTGAAGAGCCTGTAAGCCTGGCTAGCTGCTCCTTTGGAGTTCAGTGTTATGCTGTTCTAGCAATCCATCTTTGCTGCCCTTTTTGACTGGCAGTATTCTACACTGGTGTTTGGTTTTCTGTAATCAGCTCCTGGGTGTGATCAGATTGATAGTCCGTTTGAACTTCATGGAATGGTTTACATTGCTGGAGAACAGAAGTATTTGGGTGGGCTGTGACTGCAGTCCAGTGCAGTGTCATTTCTTCAAACATCTACCCTATGCAAACAGCATCCTTTATGCTTCGAAAAGATGTTACCTTTAAATTTATTATATTTATTCATGTAGTTTTGAGGATGGTAGACACGTTTTAAGTGGCCACCAGGACGAATAATCAAGGAAGACAAGGACTAGCAATGAGGTGTTAACCCTGTCTTTTACTCAGTCCCTGGAGATGACCTACATAGAGAGTTACAGATGCAGAATCTGAAAGGTGGAAAGACAGTATGGATTTGACCTGTAAAACCTTGCCTTCAATCAGAAAGTGAAAACAGATCTTGACTTTGGTACTCTGACACGAGGAAAAGATACCAGCAAGATACCATCTACAGCTGTAAATTTGGTAGAGAGAAGTGCATCGAAATATATAGTCTCCAGCATTATTGTTAATTTATTCAGCCAAGTCTTATTTAGTTATACATCTAATAAGGTAGAAGCAGCAGCACTGTAGCAAATACTGTGGAAAAGGAAGTGGTTCTAAGAATCTTGAAGACCACAAGCCATGGTGACGATTCAGATCCCTGTCTCCCCACAGCTCCTCAGTTATTCTGTACATTTCTGCAGCTCACTGTATTGAGACCTTGAGCTTGTTTCTGTCATTTGTAAAGTGAAGCCTATGTCTTTAACTCTGACTGAAGAATTACTGCACTGCAGATACCTCCATGGAAATACAATCTACAGATTACATAATGTCTGGGTACTTTGGCACCTTAGGTACACTCTAGTTCAGGTTTCTCTAAGAGAGGGGAAGCTAAGCTTTATATTTCAAAAAAAACCTTTAAATTTTATCTTTTGCCAGTGAGCAGAATCCTCCCTTCCTTCCAGGTTTACATTGTGTGTTTATCACGGCAACTTTTTTATTTTGTATTGTGAAATAATAATTGGTGTTGAAAGAAGGTGAAAGTCTTGTGTTCCCAAGTGGGACAAATGGCTGTATAATGAGTTCCCTTGACATCTTACTGCAGTGTATCTGCAGCAAATACTGCTTCAAAAGATCACTTGGGATATAACTATTCCAGAAGAGAAATGTGTTGTTGACACGTGTGGAAACCTGGCTGGCAAGAGAGTCTAGCGTGGTTACAGTTCATCTTTATGCACAAGAGCTAAAGCTCCCCTGCTGGCAGTTACTAGTTCTGGAGACAGCAGCAAAAGCTTCTTTCAGCCCCCTTTGCCCTGTCAGCAGTGGTAGCTGAGGCCTGAAGTTGATTTGTCTTCTTTTGCAGTTTTGCCTTTATGTCTTGGTGCTCCTGGTTTCATCACATCTCTCATAATGTCAGTGTCCATTAATACCTGGGTCATTGTTTTTATTGTTCTTTGAAAGCACAAATAACTTTATTCTTGGTATTTTATAATGGAAAATTTTTATCACCTTTTAGAAATAAATTCATCATATAAATAGTTTCAAGGGTAACCAATTACTTTTGCTCAGTTTGGGATCCATCCCTATTTAGAAAAGAAGTAGTGCTGTTTACTGAATAGGAAATCTGTTTGGTGGCTATTTTAAGTAAAGAGTAGAATAGATTATCTGTGCTTTAGCTTGACCTAATCATGTTTGCAGTGTTTTGTAGCCATTAATTGCCTTCAATATTCTTTGCATGATAATTTTTGTAACAAAAGCCTGGTAAAATAGATTATAAATCATACTGGGGAGTGGGGGGGGTCTATATTTTGTTTTCTGCTGTGGCTGTGGTTAACTGTTACAAGCTTCATGGAGCTGTTGTTTGGTAGGAGCGCTATGAAGCAGTTCTGCATCGCACCTTGGAACGGAATCAGCGGCTGGAAACACGACAGAAGAGATGGTCATGGGGGGGGTCTGTAACTCCAGACTCAGAAGGCAAAACAGGTAAGCAGCACTGTTTTTAGCAGGACTAAAATCACAGAATATTCTGTGTGAATACTGGCAGATGTAGCACTATTCATGGGAACCTGGGGATCCTTTCCTATCTTGGATCTTAAAGCAGGATCCCTGGGTAGCTCATGGGAAAGTGTCATATATGTACTTGCCCTGAAATGCTGCTCAGAGCTATTTTTGATCTTGGGAAGAGGTGGAGAGAAGCTCCATGGGAAATACAACACGTGACAGCACTGCCAGCCCTCAAACATCAGATAAGGGGAAAATTACGATCTTTAATATTAAGATAATTCAGAGTCCTTCAAATGCAGTTCGTGTAATGGAGTGCTAAGACTGGTGATAAAACCAAAAATACCCAGTTGTACTCTAATATCACATCTAAAATATTGTTTCTGCTTGTAAACATTCTGAAATCAGACCAGCAAATAAAGATTGCAGTGGAAGGAATCTTTCAATGCACTACCTGACCACCAAAAAGTAACATAAGTTACTGGCCAGGAATAGAATAAATCAGAAAATGCTTCAATTCAGCCTATCTTCTGTATTGGTGGAATTGTACTGAGTGTGGTACTGTCATTTTCTGTCAGCTTGAGTGTGTGTATGTAGCATGTTTGAAAGTACTTTGATATTAGCTGTCATTATGATATGCAGCATCCCCATTTTTGGGTTAACTTGCATTTTTTTATTATTTGACCTCGTGACTTAGCTTACAAACTTTCTTCTTCCTCAGAACAACAGAGCGCAGATGAAGGTGGAACTGGTGGTATTGATTTATAAAATTTTCTTCTGCTGTTGTTTTACACTCACTACTAACTTTTTAAGCTTGAGTTCTTCTCACACTTAGGAAAACCATCTTATAGATCTTTTCCTGGATCTTGGCCAGCTGTGCAACAAATGTGATCCCGAAGTAGAAAGTAGCCCCCCTCATTTTGGCTATCCCTCCCAGCTAATTCAACTACAGCTTAAGTCATGGCATCCTGAGGGAATTTTCAGGGAAAGGCTACGTGCATTTTGGTTTTTAAAGAGGTTTGAATAAAGCACAGGGAGAAGATAAATTCCTATTGGCAAGTATTTGAATATAAATTAGTTCAGTGGTCTATGATTTGGAGGGTTTAAGGGCAATTTCAAACCATTTCATTGCTTCCTAATTTGCAAAAAGTACATGGTAGGGCTTGGTTTGTTTCCTTCTTGCTTTGGTTTACCAGCAGTTGAAGTAACATTTGCAAATCAAATGATATTTTGGTGAAACTTTGTCAAAGGGAATGAGTCTCTTGCTCAGTTCAATACTGTTTCCATGAAGGGTTTTACAAAGTCAGAGCTGTCCCAATTATTTAAAGATAGTTCTACATATGAATGTGTTTTCATTGGATTTCCAGCACTTTCCAATGCATAGACTGAGGCATTCATAGAAATGCTTTGGATCACTGATACATATGTTTAATAAGCAAAATTATTTCTTATAGCTAGATTGAGATGAAAACTCTCAGCTGAGACCCAGCAGAATCTGAATCCTCACAGTCTGTGCGTGCCCACAACGTTACTAATGCAGTGCAGCTGTCTGTGACACAGACAAGTGAGGCTTGAAAATGCAGTGAAGGTCTGACTGTGATTTAACTACTCTGGCAGCACAGCAGAAGCATGTGTATTTTAGTTAACTTTTCCCTTACCCTGCACATCATGAGCCCCTAATTTTCTCCAAAATCAGCCGGTTTGTCTGAGTTGGTTTATCTGCTTTACATGTGTTCCTTGGATACAAATATAAATCCATTTACTGTATCTCACATTACCAAATATTATTTAACCTTGAAACTGGGAAATCACATTTGCCTTACATGCTTAAGAAAGCACTGTGTTTTATTCTATAAACACAAAATAATGGTTTTTGCTCTTGTTTGATTTATATGAGGAAATGTGCCTTGTCTGTCCTTTCGATTGTGGAGGAAAATCTTCAGTGCTGCTGAAGCACATTTAAGATAAAATGTCTTCCATCACAAATGCTCCTGATATAATAATAGGTGCTTAAACTGTGATTTATGCATCATTAAAGTAACTATGCAGATAGTTCAGCAGCACTAGATCAATTTGGATAACTTGGCACCAGTCTAGAAAAGAAATTGCTATGGAGATAAACAGGTTATGCAATGTCCTGGTCAAACCCTTGTGCACCCACATTGTTTTAAAATTGTGTTTGGTTTATGTTATTGTTTCAAACATTAAGCTATGATATGTGGGTTGGATAATGTGAAACCATGACTGATTTTACATTTCTCATATTTATTCCTATTTCAGGGTATTTCTTTTTAACTTTGAGAGCTCGTTACTTATTGTTAAAAATCTACCTAAGCCATATTGGATACTTAAGTCCAACTGGCTTTCTAGAAAATCCTTATATGGTCCATTTTGCTTTATATTTGCATATTTTCTGGAAAGACAACAATTACCTTTTTTTATCTCTGAAAAATGACACCATATGAGTTCTACTCCATCATATCATTGTGGCTGAATAGTGCACCTTCTCTAACTGCATGCCTGGAGCAAATTTAAATGCAATATTATATTTCCACTATCAAATTCTGTGGCAGATATAGGATTAAAGCTCTGTTTCTTAAAATGAGAACCATTTGGGGAACTGATTTCAAATAATCTTTAATTATTTTAGGACAAAAAGTGTTCATGTCTGTTGTAGTGCTGTGCAAAAAAATGCTGAATCAGATATGTCTTCCATGAACTGTGTGTGTCAACAGTAATATTTAGGAACATTGAGTGGAAGAGCAGAAGTTTTGGGTGATAGTGTGTTCTGGAAAGTGAAGCCCATGTAATGGAATATTTCCCCAGCCATTTCAGTGGTTCTGTGGGATGTTGAGTGTTACTCATGAGACCACAGCAGGGATCCTGCTGATGGTGAAATGGTAAAAATGGACGAAAGCCCCAGAGTCAAGTGTTACATTAATGGCATTGCTGTCAGTGCTAAGATGAAGCAGGCAGGGTGTGACTGTGCCAAGAGAAATGGCCAGGCTGTGCAATAAAGCATCCTTGATGACAGTCCTGGTAAAGGGGGTGTTTTAGTGGTACCTGCTGAGCAGAACTTGAGGTTCAGGTGCATCAGGACTGGAGATGTGCATTTAGGATAGAAATGGGGCTGCCAGAGTCTCTTCATGCTAAATAAAGTGCTTCCTTGTTCCTTGGAAGGAAGTGAGAGACTGAAATAAGATAATCTTATTTCATGTAGCCTAATGTTATCAAGCCTCAGGCAATGCTGCAGCACCTTCTCTCACTGAAACCCTGTGAGGATTGAAAGCTCCTCACTCTGAGTGATTTTCTTAAGATTCCAGCTTTCCCAGCTCCTTGCTGAGTTCCAAGTCCTGCTGTATGGCAGACGTGCTTTCTTCAGCTCTGCTGCAGTTTTCTTTCCCCCTTCCATCAGCAAAATAGAGAAGTTGATATCACATGGGCTGTGTGCTTCTTGCATTTCAAACTCCTTGATGGAGGTTTTCTGACTTTCTCCCAAAGAAGGTATTTGAGGTACTTTTTCAAATGATGTTTCGTAAGTAGCTACATAACCAGACTGACTGGCTCAGGAATATCCTGCCTGTCTTCTAAAGCTTTTTCTTTCTAGAGAAAGGAGCTTTAAGTTTGCAGAAGCTGTTCTGTGAATGAGGTAGGGAAAAAGTCAAGGTCATCTGATCATGCAAATGTATTGATCAAAAAAGCATCAACCTCTGTACCTGGGTCCCAGTAGGTGACAGACCAAATCTCAGACTTCATGCAAGTGCAAAAGTGCTAAATTGAACCAAGAAAAATTTGTGTGAAATGTCTCTGTGATGTTTGGAGGCCTTGGACGCAGTTGAGCTCAGGCAGGAGCCAGGATTTCTTTTAAAGAGCAGACACTAGAGGGTAGCCTTCCCCTTCAAAAGCACCTGAATGCATGAGTTATGAGCTTCCTGATTTTCATATATGAAACCTTTTAAGATGTTTAGTTATTCCAGCTCTCAGACTCCATTCATAAAATGCTCCCCTTTTTTTTCTTATTCTTCTTTTTGTTATGTTGGGAAAGCATCCACTAAGCTCAGATCCTAATTTCTAAACTAGATTCAGTAGATCTCACTCTTATCCCATGAGGACTTTGCTCTTGTTCTCTGTCAGAAGAGCTTCCCATAGGGCTGTCCATAGGAATCCTTATGTCCTGGCTCTGGCTATAAGGGGCTGTTGTAGTATGCTGGCAAAGGGAAAAGATGTTGTCTCTGTGGTGATTAGTGCTGCTGTGTCCTTTGGTACTTATGCACTAATGAGTTCAGATTAATCATCTTTGCTGTCCAGTATGTCAGTAAAATAGATCACTTGTGTTAGATGTATAGAATTTTGTCTGTTTGTTGAGCTGGTCTGTGCCCTGCTGTGTACATTAATGTTTTCTGCTTGCTGAGTTTCTATAGCAACAGGTACATGCTTCTCCAAGGCTTTCACACTCTGGAGTAGTTTCATCCTGAAAGTACATTATTTGAAATTAAAAAGCAGGTATTTCTCTGCCTTGTAATAAACTTGCAGTTCTGCTGCATGAGATGGGATTTTTATGTGTGTGTACTAAAAAAAAATTAGTGCCTCTTGTGGCAGGTTTTTTTCTGAAAAATTGCAGATTTTGGTAGGAAACATTAACTTAAGAATAGTTTTTAGAAAAAAATTGGCAATTTCTAAAATACAGCAACCTTTGTGAAGCAATCAGAAATAGGAGTGCTTTCTTGCCTTTCCTTAGGACTTGGTTTTATCCCTCCAAAATAACTTGTTTTGATGTGGATTTATTAAGTAGTGATTAAAATAACTGTTTTGACATACCTATGTGGCAGGAATGAAAAAAGAAGTTTTTTCCAGATTTTGTGGTTATTTTCTGTGTCTTGCCAGTCTGGTAAAACAGACCACCTCAGTAGCTTTTGTCTTTACATGTTGGGGGTGCATGAGTTTAAAAATCCCTTGTTTGCACACATATGCATGAATTCTGACATGACATCACTAAGCTCTACCTTTTCTGTGCCTGTCCCAACTGGTGCTAATGGTATCAGGCCTGTTCGAAGGAAAACAAAATAATTTGTGTTTCTCATCAAACAAAAGCGGAAGTAGCTTTCAGGATGTAATACTTGAAGAGTGAGCTCTCAGCAAGCTGTGAAAGGCTCAGTATGAAGGTGATTTCTAAAGTTATCACTTTTCTCCACAGCCAGCAAACGCTCGCCCTCCACAGCCAACCTCAAACAGGCAGAGGCTGCTGTGAGCAAATGCCTGCCGTCATCTGCAGCTCTTTCAAATGCCTCAGATCGAAGTAAGTGTGGGTGTGTGGCTGCTGGGAGCAGGGCACTGCTCAACTGTGGCTGGGGAGGAGATAGGAGGTGGAATGAAAACTCCTTCCTCCTCCCCTGCTGTGTGACTCACTTCATATTTTGATCTCAGATGCATTTCATGCAATTTGTTAATCCAGCTTGACTGTTCAGGGCTTTGACCCAGTTGATGTGATCTCTGTTAGAGGAGAAGAGCAATGGTAAAAACTGTTGGTTTTTTATTTTTTACTTCTGTAATTCTGTTACTAAGGTCAAATCTTGGTAAATGATTCACAGATAATTTCCCATCATCTCTATGGATTTGCATGCCTTAATTCACACTTTAAAATTTCAGCAAAATAGAAGTAGTATGCTAATAAAGTTTGCCGTGTTCTGTTAGACAGCATCAGTCATTTGATTGCCAATGGTAAGGAAAAAATCAATTTTGACAAGGAATTGTCCTAATACACTTGTTAAGATAAACAAAAACTATTTGTGTGAGAACATATTTTGGCTTGTTTTAGCATGAGATTTTGTTATTTGGAATCTTCCCAGAATTTCATAGGAACCTGCCTGCATCACAAATATGGAAGTTTTTGCTTTTGCTTTTGTTTCTTTGTTTTTCTAAAATGATGAATAAGCTAAAAGCTGTTTAATACAAAAGCAGATTCAGCTAGGTCTGTGCTGCAGTGTTCTGCCAGTCTGCAGCCTCTGATCAAGCAAACTGTGCTGAAAGAATCCCTGACACAGAAACAGCTAAAGGTGGTTTTGCTGGTTCGTGTTGGAAGGTGATGCAGCAGAAAAAATTTGTGCTCATGCACTGTATGCCTGGTGGGGAAATCAGTGACTATATTTATACTGGCAGGGGCTCTGAGTCACTGGAGGCTGCTTGTGATTTTAAATTATATTTATATATTATGTGTCTGCAGGGTTCAGCTCTGGATATGAGTCAGAAGCAGGGCTGCAAAGTACAAATTAAACCTCTTACAAAGGAAGTCACTAATTATCAACTAATTGGGATTGCTTTCAAACTTATTGTCATACTCTGAAATCCTTTGTGAAGGATTAGAATCCTTAGTCTCTTTGGAGAAAATATTCTTAGGTTACCTGAAATACAACAAATTTGGACAGGACTCCAAGTGATGTACATGGTCAGGATGTAGAGGTTGACTTAGAGTGATCCTGTGCTCTCAATCACAGGACATTAAATAGTCACAGAATTGCTTCTGTTGTGCATGTGTGCCTGGGAGGGTGAAGGAGCAGAATGTGGAAATGAGAAGATGATGCTTGTCCTGGATCAGTGGAGTATCTCCACTTAACACTGTGTTCTGTGTTAATTCTAGGCTCACTCATACTCAGAGAATGTGAGCAATTGTCTTTTGAAATTCTCATGTATTTAAAAAAGTGTACAAGAATGGCCTCAGTAGATCAAACAAGAATTTGTTGTGGCTGACATCCTGCAGCTGTGATCAGAAACATGCAGAAATAAAAGAAGTAATGCTTTATATAAAGTGGTTCTTCCCTGATCCAGTTTTTCTGCTTCTGAAGAATTCAATATTATAAAGCAACTTAATCATTCCGCTCTCTCTTAGGGAAGTGGGGCAGGTGTTGGAGGGGACCTCTGAGCTTTTCAGCATAATTAATCCATGCACTTTCACTTCCAGGTACCACAAAGAGAAGTGCCTCATTAAACAGACTGAATAACAAAGTCCCTCCACATTCCCAGCAATCAGCACCCAAAGGTTCGCAGGTGGAACAGAAAGGTGCTAGAAACCAGTTTGTTTTGAGAATTGGGAGGCAGTAAATGGGATAATTGAAGATGACTTTAAACCATGTCCCACTTCCATTAGAAATGTTTTTACTCAGGCATTCATGGAGTCATTGTGGCATAAATATTATGCACATTGCAGTGCCAGATATTGGGTAACTGTCTCTAAACCAGTCTTATTCCTCTGAAAAGTGGAAGGGTGGGGGGAAAGTAGACAAATGGTAGCCAAACCATCTCATGAGAAAATAGTGCTTCATAATGATAGTGCTTCATAATGATGGTTTTAGCTGATTAGTAAAAGCAAAGCATGGGATGGCAATTTAGAAAATCATATCTTGTTAAAAATAATCTTCCTTACGCTTGGTCTCTAGGAGGAAATGAAAAGAAGAGGAGCACATCTTTGAGTAGAATGAGTAGTAAACCCCAATCCTCTCCAGAGCTAGAAAAAGTGAAAAAGGAAGAAAAACCAGGTGGTTGTTTCATAAAATTGAATATTCTTTTAAAGCCTTTGAAGTTTGGATAGGCTTGATTTCACTGGTTTCCTAGGTCCTTAAATTTCTAGGACTTTTTAATGGCGTTTTAGTTACCCAGTATTAAAGTGGTAAAAGTTAAATTTTTACTTCTGGACAAAAAAATAAATCATCTAAGAAGGCCTGTGTCTTTGTTAAATGGCACTGCAAGCAGGTAGCAGTATGTCTCTCTGCTTAAGAAAGCAATCTGTTTGAGAGCTGGTAGGTTTAAGGGTCAGAAATGGTAAAAATGTCGCTGATCTGTCCACTTCTTAGATAAATCTTATCTTTGCTTTTTTAAGTTCCCTTTCATTATTCAGTTTAAAAGCAGCTTCTCTGTTCCTGCTGCTGGCATTAACTATGTGCATGCAGAAGGAAGAAACCTCTTCTCACTTCAGGCTCTTTTGGTCTGTGTATTCCCACTAGGTTAAAAATAACCTCTTTCCCAGGAGCTCCTAAACCTGAAGAACAGTACCTTGTCTAACGTGTTTTTCCCTCTGAGTTAACAATTCTGAAACTTTCCTTTTTAGCAGCTGTTGTCAGCAGTTGAAATTATTTTTGCTTCAGACTCTTTCCTGTATGAGAGAATGATGGGTGCTGTCCATGTGAATGTGTGTGTGCAGGCAGTGCTTGACCATAACTGCTTGCTTTGACTTGCAAGTCTCTGTTTATTATGTCAAAACAGCCTTTCCTGCAATCAGAGAATGTAGCTCTGAAGAGCTCAGTCAAAAACGTTTCATACTTTGACTGGATTCAGCATTCACCTCTGTTGTACATGTGCCAGTCTCTGCACATTAAAATGACTTGTACTAAGCAAGACAAGAACAAGAAGTGCAACAAAAAGAGATTGCAGTGTTTAACCCTTCTGTGCTTTTAGTTTGGAATTCCCCCTCCATGACTTCAGTATTGTTCTTCCAAAACCGTTACGATTCGCAACAATGCTCAGTCTTCCTTTGCTTTGTACTGCTTGTCTTGCTACCTTGTCGGCTGATGGACAGGACCCCTCAGGTAACAGGAGGACAGCAAAGCCTCTGAGTCTTACACAGTTGCTCTTCAAGCAAGAGCTTAGATGATAGCTGCTAACTGTGCTACAGTTTTGTCTGAATCAGACAGTTAACACATGGTTGTGTGTAATTTTACTTACCCAGTATTTTCTGTGGTCATTAATACCCAATTCATATGCTGTGTTGCATGTTTACTTTACAAAACCATTGAGTAATATTGACTTTTAAACTCCAGTGCTGGTTTACTTCCTCTGCAGAGAACCAGATGCTGGTGTTCATTCTGGGGTTTTTGTGTGTGGTTTTTTTAACTGACAGAGATCTGCTTTTGTACCCTTAGTCTGAGACACTCTGGGTAGAGTAGTACTAGGTAATGAAAGGAAAAAAAACCCAAACAAACCTAATTTCAAAGTGCAAAACCTCAATTTCTTTAGGGGAAGAAACTCTTGCAGGAACATGACAATAGGGTTACCTTAAGATAAGTACAGAGAACCCTGAGCTGGCTTCATTCTGCTGATAGGAGAAGTCAGGGTATAATAGGAGAGGAGAGAAACCCTGGCTAACTCAAGCAGTTTTGTGTTGGTCCAGACTGACCTGATATGTCCACACCAGCAAGGTGTGGACAGGCCCCCCAAGCTGCATCCCACATGTCCTGGAATTGTTACTGGTTAATTTATAATGCCCTAGTTAAATGCATCTCTGGAAACAATGTGGAGTCATTTCTCTTTTACCTTCCAACTTATGTTCCCTGTTTTGCTTGTTTCTTTTTAAGTATGAAATCCCATCTTTATTTTTTATCTTACACCATTTCACTTGGTCCTTGTCAGTAACGGTGACATTTCCACACATTGCCCCTTGTCTAATGATGAGTTTTTATTTTTTGGTTTGTAGTCAATACTTCAGTTCATGTCATGTGGGGAAATGCCATCTTTTTTTCTCTTACTGCTGGCATGTGACATTCACTATTGCTGAATTAAAAATACATTTTTATAAGTTTAGAGGTACTTCTTTCATTTCAGTAGAAAAGTACCTGTGCTTTAACACAACCTGTGCACAAACAGAATGCAGGTCTCCTTGCACAAATGCTGCAAATACAAAAATAAAATGTATTTTCCATAAAGTTACAAAACTACGTGCTGCATTTGTCACAATTTACTTGAATTCTAGACGAATCCAATATCTAGTTTTAGAATATATTTGCATCTATATTTTAGAATATATTGCATCTATGTGTGCTTATCTGTCTGTAATCATGTTAGCTAAAAAGTAGTAAGATAAAATTTCTTTCAATTCCTTATATGTGAAGAGATTGACACATCAGGTAGGAAAGGTATCATATAGTTGACCTTTTTCTCTTGATAGATCTTTTATACCACACCACATTTGAAAAGAAGGGCAGTTTCCTCCTTGACTATAGAGGAAACATGCTTAAAATCTGAACCTCTCTTGAAGAAATTGTCAGGAAATATGCTAAGCCATTAAAACTGAAGCATTTGTGATCAAATGCAACTTGACTAAAATTAAAGTAATTTGGTAATTTTTGGAAAAGCATTTTATTTTTATCTACTCCAGACTGCTGCTTTCAGAGTGTTTATTCTTGGTGCTGTTACTTCCCAAGTACTAATGGTGTGGTGGTGTCTGTCCATGACCCGTTGCACTGTGCACTGCCTGCGGTGTTTCCCTGTACGGTTTCTAACACACACAATCTCTCTTTCTCTTTTTCTCCCTCTTCCTTCTCTCTTGCTCTTATGCTATGCACTTGGTTCTCGTTTTGTCTTGTCAAATTCCTAACTTTTATAGAATCTCACCTCTGTCCTCGTTCAGCTTCAGCCAGTTCCATCAATTCCCCAGTCCCAGCTCCTAAAGTGCCGGTGCGCAGCCGTAGCATCGACAGGTTGAAGTCCTCTGTGTCTTCATCTGATGCAAGTTCACCTGACTCAACCCAGGTTTGTTGGAAACTCACAGGAATTAAGTTTCTAATAATCTGGGGGGGCTGGAACAGCTCAGGATGGGATTCTGTTTCACCCCTTTGCTGCTTTCAATAAGCATTAATGAAATCTACCATAGCATTTGCCTAAAAAATACAGAGTATTAAAATCAGATTGGAATTTAATGGTACTTGATCTCTCTTGCATCTTGAAAAGGTGTATTGTTTGCTGCTTATGGTTCCCGAAGTTTAATTTATGTAAAAATTAAACACAGACCAGATCTGTGTTTTGGAACATAAAGGAAAATTCAAAGTGCATCTTGTTAAGCACTTGCTTGTTTGTTGGAATAGCAGCTCCTCTGTCTGCAATGTATTCTAGAGAGTGAGCAGTATTTTGTTTTTGTGTATATTCTAGAAATCAGAGACAGAAAAACCATCTCCAGGTTCTGGTTTGAGGCGCCCTCCCTCACCATCCTTGTCTGCCCGTAGAAGATCCCCCTCTCCTGCTAATTTGGTGAAGCGTCCTCCATCCCCTTCTGCAGTTAGGTACGTGTCCAGGTTAAACCCTTTTTGCAGTCAGATATGTGTAAACACCTTTTATTTAGCACAAAATGAAGGCTTCTTCCTGTCTCAAGACAGCTGAGCTGTTAGAGTTTGGGTGACCTATGCTCTGCATTGTTTGTACAGAAAAGACTTAATTTTCAATCCAATTTCCCTTTTCCAAAAGTAGGGATGCATCTTTTACTTCAGCCTTTGTTGTGCAGACAAAACACACCCTAATTTTCTGTGTAGTCTGTGCACTAAAATGCCTGGAAGCCTCTGAATAAACTGATCCACCTGTATTAGCATAGCAAGTTTCTTGATTGGAATCATCAGGTTCATCCTAGATGGGGAATAAATGGAGATCTGGGGTAGCAGTCCTGTTTTATTGTTAGCCCCCAAGTAGCAAGGCTGGGTGCTCAAGGTCTTGGAATCCTGGTTTGAGTTTTATGAGAAAGGCACCAGTAATTTGTGGGTGGCTTTATTTTTAAAAGTGAGGTATGTAATATAAACTAAACAAAGGAGACTGCTCTCCTCAGATGTGTGGTTGAGGTTTTCATTGTTAGTTCTGAAAAATATTCTTTGTTTCAACAGGCAGAAGACTCGCCCACCTTCACCTGGTGTGTCGAAACAAAGGCCACCATCTCCTACACCAGTCTCTAAGTCAGCACCCATCCAGCGTCCATCTCTCACACCAGGTGTTATAAACATTACCAAAAAGAAAACTGAAGCAGAGAGCAAACCAAAGGATAAGAGCACAGAAGGAATAGGACAAGAGCAAGGTGCTTCCCCAGCCTTGGAGAGGGATGCAGGAGCAGCTAGCACAAAGACCAAAGAAGGTGGGTGTTCCTCAGTGTCTGACTCACTCCTGCTCGTGGCCTCTCCAGTGTATTCTAGGACTGGGAAAACAACTGGCTCGTGAGGCACAGCACTGGAGGGTAGGATGCTTTAAGGCAGAAGCTGCTCATTGCTGATTATATAACAACTCTACATGGTATGACTCTGGGATGTGAATTTTAATGTAGTAGTTGGTTTATTTGACTTGGAGATTTAAGTCAGGAGCTTTCAATATTACTAGTTGTATGTACTTTTAAGAAAAGCAGAAATCCTCTTTGCCTTTTGGGCTTCAGCTGCTCTAGCTGAGGGATCTACTAGCTTAGGTTTATAAAGTCAGTAGTTAAACTACAAAAAGGTCGTTCAGTTGGTAGTTCTTAAAATGCTCCTGTAGAGACCTTCTTGGAGGACAAAATCAGCTCCTGGTCATCACAGGATGAGAGGGAATTTTCACAATGCTTGAAGGCTGCCCTGGCCTAAGTTCCAGTGAATGTGTAATCATTGCTGCCTTGGGAAGAGTGATCAGTTCACAAATCACACTGAGAAATGATCCTGGTAGATTAAGGAGATAAGCAATTAGTGTTCTAGTCCTTTTCATTGTGCCATATGAGCCTGGCCTCTGTCCCTCACTGGGAAAAAATGCCATCTGCCATCTCCAGCAGAATCTGGGAGAGCCTTCTGATGAGGTCTGGCAGGCAGTTCACTATGCAGAAGGACTTAGGGGACCCTTGACAGAAAAAGGAGGGATCTTTAGAATGTAAGTTACAGCCAGTGGGCAGTGCTGGGGGTGAATCCCTCAGACACACCAGGTAAGTGGGAACATGTGCTTGCTGCATGTTTCTGCATGTGTGGTTCCTGTGTGCTTTCCTGGGCTGCTCCTGTTCCCTGCCACTTCTGAGGCTCCTCCTGGTACTGCTTTTGTTGGATGTGAAGAAGTGTCATTCAGCTGAAGAACTTGTGGTGCAGCTCTCTGGGTATGTGTTCCTGTGGAAGGAAGCCTGGCTGTCAGAGGTGGATGTTTGTACGAAGCCACACATCCGTCTTTGGTGTCACGTCCTTTGTCTTTGCAGTCAGAATGTCCATCCCTTGATGGATGTCATACTACTGATAAATGTCTTGTGTGCCTCAGAGAATCATCACTTCTGATCAATGTTGTCGGCTGGTTGAAGCCTCCATAACAGTATGTCCTAGTCCTGTATCTTCCAGTTGTTCTGGAACAAGAACATCTGTCCTTTTTCCTTGGATGCCTGATCCATCTACTCTTTACACTGACTTCTGAAACTGTATTAACCCAATTTATCTGTTTCCCTTTTAGTTTATTTCTAATCTCAAATAGTCATATTTGTGGTGATTCCTACTGGGGCTGGGCAAAGCTCTTGTTCTTTGACACATAGAACAGAAGGAAATAGTGGGCATGTTCTTCAAAATAAGATATTATTTAATTTCTCTCTGAATGTTTAGGTACACTGCAGTATTGCTATGTGAGGCAAAATCTTTTTTCTTAAAAAGTTGCTTTCAATTTTCAAGGCAATTTTCATTTTACGCGTCTGTGTCAGCAGTTCACCCCGTGGGTTGATGCAATTCCCTGTCCCAGACAGCTTCTGAAGTCAGAACACACCAGTGAATGGCATGTGGCAAATCAGTCTCTAGGTCTTGTAGGTTTAGCCTAATTCCAGCTTTGTGCACTTGTATCTTCATCCCATTTCTTCTTCAAACTGAACTTGTTTGCCTGTTGCTGACAGCAATCAAGTTTTTGTCTTGTTTTTTGTGTCTTCCTACTGCAATAAACTGTTCCGCAGTAAAACACTTTTTATTTTTCAGTGACTGGAGCAGTTGTCATTTCTGGCAGCAGCCTCTCGCAGCTTCTCTGAGAATTAAAAGGCTTGTTCAACTTAAAGCATAAGAAGTGCTCCTTCATGAGCTCTCACCTTATGCATGATGATAGGTAATAAACTATCATGGAGCCTCACATTTCGTATCTGGGTATTGAAGGCTTTGAAACATGATTCCTAGATTAATTGTGAATTAATTACTTACCTTCAAATCTGTTGGAATCTTCCCTCCATCCAGCTAGTACTACATTTTGCACATGTTCAGAGATTGTTTCTCTTGCCTCTTTCTCTTTCCCCTTCCCTTATAAAAAGATCCTTTGATAAAATGACAGTTTTTACTGGTATTGACTAGGAGAACAAGGAAAGGAAGCTGAGTGTAAAAGAGTGTCAGAATTTTCTTAAGGCGTGTTAGCAATCATGTTGGGAAGTCTCATGTCCTACCCTATGGAAAAAGGCTGTACAGGAGTACATGGAGATTAAAACAGTATTGAGGTACCCATATGGAAATCATCAATAAAACTGCAGAAGTGAAAATGCAGTGGGAAGGTCCCCAGCCCTTTCTTCTTGTTTTTTTCCCCTGCTCTTTCCATATCTGCAGTGTTCTGAACTGTTGTGACTAATTTTCTTCTGTCAATACCAGATATCGTATTTAAGCTGTCATTATCATGTTGTAGTCCTAGAACCTTTAGGCTTCTTGCTGAGCATTAGGTTATCTTATTTAGGTTCAGTTTTGGGGAGGGGAAATAGGTTAAACCTGACATTAAATGTCAACCAGATTTGATACTGCTGGGAGAGATTGCAAACACGCAACAGAAAATGGCCTCTGCTGTAAAAAGTGAGTAGTCTGAGCAGAAAGTACACTCATATGTCAGAGGAAGAGAGACATTTTGACTTCTTCATGGCTGTACAATGGCAACAGTAAATGAAACCTACTAAGTTACAGAATATAGGAAGAAAAGCATCTGCCTGTCTTGTATAGGCAGATCTGCTGATGGATTTTATAAATGCAAAATGGTCTTTCTTGCTCAAGGAGGAGGAGGACCCCTTTTGACTGAGTTCAAATTTGGAACAGTCATGCCTGATGTTTGTTAGTACCAACATGACTGCAACTTTTTCCCACAACAGAAGCGATGTGTTGTTGTCTGGGGAGGTGGTGTTTCCTCAGCTTTGGATAAATCTAAATGTTAGAATACTCTCTATGCCTGCACTACATCAGCTCTGAAATGCTTTTCCTAGGACTGCAAGAATAATTGTTATGCACAAAAGACAGTCATGATTCAGCTGCTGAGAGTTTGCTGTGTGTAATTACACCCTGCAGCTGCAGGTAGCGATGATGTGTCCATGGGGCCTAAGCAGTTTCTCAGGTATTAAAGTTCCTAATGATGACATTGTGTTTTGAATAATTTGTCTTCAGGTCAGAACTAAAACAAGTGGTCAAACCCTGATATTACAGTTCATTAAAATTACCTTGACTTCAAGGCTTTATAAATCTTAAGCAAACATATATGTGCTGATTTGTGAAATGTTTGAGAGAAGGGCAGGTCCTCACCAACGTTATGATACTGCTGCTCTACTGACATCAAGAGCTGATGCTCTGAATATTCAGATGATGAATTCTTAAATCACATTCAAAAAAATATTTCTAGGGAATGGGAATAACTAATAGAAATCAGAATTCTTTCAATATTTATATTGAGAGCAGCTGGATGGCAAGATGGTTCTGTTTTGACTTTTTTCCTGATGTTAATTTGTAATAGTACCTCTGAACACCAGAACACCAGGCATGCCATGAAGAGACATAAACAGCAGGACCTGCAAAGATCTACTCACCTGGTGGTTGAAGCTGTTTTGATCTCCATGTAATTTGGAAATTGATTTGTTGATAATGTATAGAAATATGGTATTAGTATGTGCCTTCAGGGCCAGATAAAATGATGAGTATTTGCACTCTAAGATACTCTATAAATATAAAGGCATGAACGTTAATGTTATGAAACAAGAAAAGTAAAAGAAAGATAATTTCTTCTTTAGGGTCCTATGTGTTCAGTTTAATGAGAAGGAAATGAAAGATTTTCCTCAAGCAGTTTTTTTTCCAGTTTTCTTCTCAGTGTTCAAACATTACAGCAATAAGGGTGTCTTGTCAGAGGCATGTTTTTAAGCACGGTGATAATTGGAGAGTATCTTTAAGCGTATCATCTGAAATATGGCTGGATCAGTGTTGAAATGAGCTGTTACTATTTCAGTGGCAGGGGAGATATTGTGGCTCTGTATCTTCAGGGCTCCCCTTTGGCTCTTGGAGGCCTTTAGATCAGGGTGCAATCACTGTGTGATGAGCACTGATTGAAAAGATAGTGAATCAGTTGGCCATCTCATCTCACAGCAGTAACATCTTTCATAATTTTAAGCTTCTGGAGATTTCTAACAGCAGATTCTTTTAACCTTTTCAGAATCAGGTAGCAAAACAGTAGCAGGGACCACCACAGCTGAAGAAGCTGCTAAAATCTTGACCGAGAAACGACGTCTGGCACGGGAGCAAAGGGAGCGTGAAGACCAAGAAAGAATTCAGAGACAAGAAGAAGAAAGGTAACAATTGAGGGGGGGAAAGGAAGGGATGCTTTCAGTGGTGGGGTGTGGTTGGAAGGAACACTCCAGATGTTTATGTTTTCTAAGTTCCTGCAAATGTTAGTGCAGTTCCTGAAGCTGAGAGGCACTGGCACTAACCTGGAACAGGTTAGTGTGTGTAACATTAGTTTGTATCTCAATATATATGTAATGCACAGTCCCTGTGAAATCACTTTTTTCTTCCAGACACCAGTGGGGCTTTTGTTTCAAAACTAGAATGTGCTTTTTGCACCACTTGTGTTTGGTTTGTTTGTATTTGGTTTGAAAGAGTAGACCTCTCTGTATTAAACTTCCCTTTGATCAGCTTAGGCAGTGGTTTGATATTACATTAAATCTCAATTTAGTGCTATGAAATATCAATCAGGAATGTTGCAGGCAAGTAATTAAAAGTATTAAATCAGTGTGCATTTGGTTCACTGTATAGAAGTTGTTAAAAATAAATGGCTAAGTTAGTGCTGACTAACTTTATTCCAGATCAGGGTTCACATGTCTGCTGTTATGAACATGGTGGAATGTCAGATTTTGTCTGCTTCCCAGTTGTGGATATGAAGCTGTCAGAAACTTGCATGTAGTCTTCTCTAGGTGTTTTATCAGAAATATGTCATCAGATCTGCTCTGTATGTCTACAAGAGCTGGCAGTGTGCACCTTCAGTGTATCTCTGAATTCAGGCTGTAGAAGAAACAGTCTTTTAGGAAATCGGGTAAATTTATGTTTGACAGTGGTTATAAGTTACAGTCATGTCATGATTGCAGATGGTTTTTATTAAATGGTCGTTGCTTAATCCAGTTCTCAATCAAACATTCCATTACTGGAACAACCTACCTTGACTTAATCAGAAAAGAGCATTTACTCACAGATAAATTTCTTCCAAGTTATTCAGATTTTCCCTTTGACAGGTCTGGATGTCATTTGTAAATCCACATCAGAAATTGTCTTTATGCAGTCATTTTTTCACTGGACTGCCTAGAACTTTCTTGCTTTCCTACTCTGTCTGTTGTGCATGCACACTTTAAAAGAAATAAATACCCAATAATCTGTACCTTGGAAACTCTAGAATCAGAGAAGAAGAGATGGCCAGGAGAGCAACTGAGGAAAAAGCACGACAGGAGGAGGAGCTCCGGAAGCAGGAGGAGGAAAAGAGACTGATTTATGAAGAGCAGCAACGACAAGCTGAAGAGGAGAGGATCCGCCGGGAACAGGAGGAGCAGGAAAAACTCGCAGAGCTTCAACAGCAGGTCTGTGCCTCCAGCTGTGCTCCTGGGAGAAGCTGTTGCTGTGGCTCCAAGAGGGTTTTATTTGGTTTTTCTTTCACAGAATGGTTTTGACAAATGTCTGTCAGGCATGATGTGAGGCTGAGTTCATCCTGTCTGAGATGGATTTGAGGCTGGCTGTAGGTGCTTTCCTTGCCCTGGTCTCTGTGATTTATATTTTTTTCCTATCAGTTAATAAATTCAAGCGTGGGCAGAAGCAGCTATTTTGGAATACTTTCTTTTAGCCATCAGGGATGCTCTTTTGCATATGTAAAATATTTGTACTGAGCCCACTTTATCAGCAGTCTGCTATGAGTTACAAGGAGATGGTCTGTCTGGAAAGTAACCTGGATTACTCTGATTCTTCTCAAAGAAATATTGGTAGCGTTTCCAAGTCTGCTTTTCCTGTTGCTGAATAGTCTTCTACAGCAAGTATCTGTGTACCTTTACAAAGGCAGCCTTTGAACTGAAGGGAGCAGTTCTGCAGAAAGCAGGCTTTCCTTAAATTAGATTAATTCTGAAAATGAAAGCAGTTTTACACTGAAGTTATTGGTGTTCAAAGAGCTGTATCTTACGAATGGCTTTGCTGTGTGCCTGGATATTTCTTTAAATGTTTCTTAACAACAATTACTCAGAGTGTTAACTATGTTTCTGCCTTCTTTCCAGTTAACTGGTAAAGATTTTCCAGTATAGAAGGAATAGATGTTCAGCACCGAGTGTCTTGGTAGCAATACCCGATTGCCAAGATTTTTAAGTTAACTTTGGCACATATAGAATTTAATTGCTGTCTTGTTACTTTATAGATTGTCCTTGTTAGCCAAATATTCATCCCAAAACGCGGTCTGAACAACAACATTCAGTAGCTCAGCAGCATTCAGAACATTTGCATTATCTCAGTATTGTTGGTTTCAGTTTCTGAATGTCATAGTGATATGTATTTCATGTCAGTAACTGGGTAATTGACATTTAGTTGTAATGTGTGGTCATATTAAATAGTGATTGTCTGATGTTCCTGTCTGTTTTGAACCAGATTCTGGAACTACTTCGCTTTTTACTGCTGGGAATGAGTTATGCACTGGGTGCTCTCTTGTTTTTGTTTTATTTTCAGAGAGAAGAAGCTGAAGCAAAAGCTCAAGAAGAAGCTGAAAGACAGCGACTGGAAAGAGAGAGGATTATGCAGCAAAATATGCAGGAAAGGCTTGAAAGAAAAAAGGTAGCCTGTTTTGAATTCTCAGTCTAAAATGAACAGGCAGAGTCTCAGATGTGATTAAATAGAAGTGTGTTTTTTTAAACAACTCTGTTTTCTTTGCCAACTCTGGTTTGTGAAATTTAAAAACAGTGATGAAAATAGAACACTCATGAAATATGAAAATATATTATGACGGATAAATTTTAACCAGAATGCTGAAGTATAAAGCTCTGTATGTCTTTGTAAATGTTCTCCATGTTTTAACAGAGAATCGAAGAAATAATGAAAAGAACACGAAAATCGGATCAAAACGAATCCAAGGTACTTTTTTGATTGCATCTGTATAATGACAGAACTGGACTTTTTGCCTTGTATCCTGTCTTCCTATGTTATCCTTACACAAAATGGCTTCCACAGAAAGTGCAAAGTTCTGGTGCACCAGAATAATTTCCAGTAGCTTGCCATTGCACACATTTTGCTGCTTTGCTTGCTGCCTGAGGAGTCTCTGTTACATTTGTGTTTAAGGCCTATAGACACAATGTTATCTGGTGTTACCATTTCCAGATTGGTTTTTAAACCTCTGTTTTAACCAAACACTGGTTAGTAATGGATTTTTTTAACTGCCTGCATTCTGCCAGGACTGGTTTTTCCCCAAAAACTTAGATTTCTGGCATCACGTGTTTGCTTAAAGCAAGTCTTGGGTTATCTTTGGATTGCTGTTGCTACAGTAAACTGGATGTGTTTTTGTTAATGCAGTGACCTAAGCTTTGTGAAAAATTGTGCATATTGAGGTATAGTTTTTCTTCTTTGAACATTAAAATATTCAAGTCTTCCAATAGCTGAAAATCAATAAAAATTTAGTACACACATTGGAGAAACGAGGGGAAAGGGAACTCAGAAATAATAGGTAAGATGTGGAAGTGGGTCCCACAGGCTCTGGCTCAGCAGTTGCTTGGTGACCTGGTTGTCTGTGAGCCTTTGAACTCATGTAGCCTCACTTCTGGGCACAGAATGGTCTTGTGTGGGAGCTGTGACTGAATTTGTGAAACTGTGGAGTACTGGGAATTGTTCCAAGTAACACTGTGGCAATTCAGTTGCAGAATGAAGGGAAGTCTACCTTGGAGGTGATGGAGGGAGAGGATATTGAAGAGGAGGAAGAGTTAGGACTTGAGAAGACTGACCAACCAGGTAAGGAAGCTGAGTCAGGCCTGGGTGGCAGTGAGTCTCAGTGATGTTTAAGCTCTGTTGAAAAGGTCAGTCCTACCAGCACTGGGACGGTCTGAGACACCAGTCCCAGAGATGCCAGGGGGACTCCCTTCTTGAACAGAGAATCACTCAAAATTATTTGAGAGTGAAACACAGGCAGCACACTTTCATTTTACAAGTGGATTTTAAAAGATGAACAAATTTCATGCTGGTTTAGTCAGCTTTTCTATAGACAAATGAATCTATTGTAGCCAAATGCCTTGGGTTTTGGCTAGGAAAGGTTATTTTGGTATTTTATTTATTTAGAATAGCAATTCTACTATTCTTGCTACTCAAGTTCTTTTTTTTCCCTTCTATTTCATTTTTTCTGCCCCTACCTCCCTCAATATTCAGGAAAGCTAAATGGTGTTGACTTGCTCCAGGAAGTCAAAGGGGAGGCAGAGGATTGTTTAGAGACTGCACAGGGCATGATCTCTGCAGAATCTGAGGCACAAACTGAGTCAGAGTTGAAGGCCAGTGAAGTGTTCATGAATGGAAGTGACTTGAAAAGTGACGAGGGGTCTCTGTCTGTTACTGAACTAAAGGATTCCAGGTGAGTCTGCTGTACTGGGGGAGCACTTAGCTCTCACACAAGAAGGATCTTCTTAACTTGAACATAGGTTCAAGTTAAATGCAGTGCTGTCTGCAGCACCTTGCTGGCTTTGTGGTGTCTGTGTGCCTTTCTCCAGCCATGTGGTGTGTGCTGTCAGCTCACAGCCTCACACAGATCAGCTAGCTCAGGATAATTCTTTGTTTAGATGGCACCATGTTAACTTTGCTGCCTTTGCTGAGAAGTGAGACACACAGCCAGCACCATGGCAGTGTTGATTATAAAAGCTGACATTGGCTTGAAACCTTTTCCATTGAAATGCCCAGCAGTTCTTCTCATTAACAAAACATTAAACAAGAGGGAGGAGGATAACCCTGGAAAGGAAAAATAACTTACAGAAAGCTCTAGAGCGCTTTTGGTTGTACTGGAGCACCAGATACAATGCAGAAGCCTCCCTTAGTAAGGAATTTGAGTTTTTTACTATTTCAGATTTTAATTTTTTGAATGTAAAGCATTTTCATCTACTGCTAGAAAATTTGTCCTCTGGTGCGTGTTCCATTTGCTCTTCAAAATCCTAATAATGGTTTAGAAATGACATTGTGAACACTTTCTTAGAGTGATGATAGATGAATGTCATTCCTCCAGTGATGGAACATAAAGATATTTCTAAGTTTGTCCTAGGAATGAATGAAAATTGATCTGTAATTTGGGTTTAGCTTTTGAATCTGTTTTAAATATTGCTGGTCTTCTGAGACTTAGTTTTGTGTGTTCAAAAAGTCTTAGCTGGAGAAAAAAAGGAAAAATGCACCCTACAAAAATCAAGACTTAATGATCAAGGCTTTAAACTTGTTACTTTCTTACATCAAAATTCTAGAGCCAGAAACCTTACCTGAGAGCTGTTAGTATAGTAAAAAGTGGGTATATATGGCCGAGTTTTTCTTCCCCATTGGCTCTTGAAGGTGAGATCTTGTGTGGCAGCTGGAGCTTGTCTCAGAATGCCCTGTGAGATATTCAGTGCTTTGCAGAGTATGCAGAGTGTTAATTGTCCTGTAATCAATGTAAAGGTTAAACATGTGGAAACTGCAATACAAGTACTCATTCTCCTTTTTTTGTAGCCATCCTGCAGAAGAAATGGTTATCGATGACTCGGGGAAGCTGGATGTTCATGAAGCTGATCACACAATTGAACTTATTCAGAATCTTAATGGAAAATCTGGTTCGTGGACTTTTGAGGAGTTCATTGACGTTGGAGTGCATTCCAAGTCAACCAAACTGAGCTCAGACAGCATCTCTGCTGGTAACTGTAATCAAAACTTGAATGATGCTGCTACAATACCTTCTAGTCCCAGATTGGCTTTTGAGGAAGATGGTGCAGTGAATTCATTGACCAAACCTATAGATGCTTCATCAGGTAATCCCAGCTGACTTCCCTGTCTGTCTCTTCCCCTGGCTAGGCAGTTCACTTCCTTGCATTTTGTTCTCCTTGCCTTAACTACAGCTTCTTATTTTCAAGGCACTTTTTCCAATGTGTAGACTTTGAGGGAAGGCTCTTTCTTTAGTACTTTTAACTTGAATTCTGTCAAAAGGAGTCACCAACTGATGCCTTTTTAGGGACTTGCTAAGGCCCAACATTAAGGCTCTTCCAAAGACACCGCTGAGCCCTTGTGAAGTTCCAAACAGCATTGAAGCTCATATATTGTACTCCAAGGTTTTTCTAAGATATGTTAAATGGCACATGTTACTTTGCAAGATACAGAACAGTTCAAAAGGTATCTGATGTAACTCTACACACCAGACCTTTCCACTCCTAGGCATGTTTGATGCTGACCTGCTTGGTCTTACAAGGTCTCTTCAGACTCTTAGCAGTGTATTAGCTGTCCTCTCTACTTACTGTACAATACTCTTTTACTTCACCAAGGCAAGTAACACCAACCTGAAATTTCACAGGTGGTTGTGTTACATTTTAGGAGGAGTAATAAAGCTGTACACAAAATATTCTGAGTTTTCTGAAAGAGGCAGGGCTGCATCTCAAGCCACATGTACTTAAGAAGCCAAGCCCTGATGCAGTACAGTGCATAGAAGAGATATGTGTCAGAGAAGCTTCAGGAAGTCAGTTTGTGTAAGAATGGACTTTCTGGTGTTGGAGGCAAACCCCAAAGGGCCATTTTCACAGGAGATCTCTTTCCTTGGGATAAATGACTGTGTGATCAGTTGAAGTGAATGCTAGTGGGAAAACAAGCCTTGCTATCCACATTTCCTTCCAGTGATGTGTAGCACTTTCTTTGATTAAAGTGTAGCACTTTTCTAGACTGAGCTGTATCCTGAGTCTCTGAGTCTCCTCTGTCGCTCTGCGTCTTACGAATTTCAGTTCCATGGGCGCGCCCTGATGGAGGCTTCCCTTGAGGCCACAACAGACTGGGCCATGGGAATAGACAGATTTATTGTGGTTCTGCTGATCCCTTTCTGTTGTGATCAGACTCATTAACTTTTTAATGAAGGAAGCGTGGCCTTTTAATTTTGAGCTTGAAAATTTTTAGACTTAATACAGTTGAAGAATTCTGTACATAACTTTGAAAACTAATTTTCCTGTAGAAAGAAAGAAAACCTACAGTGCTAGTTTGGACTGTAAGTGGCCAAGTGGTTCTGTGCTCACTCCTGGATGTAGACTGGCAGTGATGATGGATACATGTGGCATACATGCAGTTACAATGGTTAAATGTTTTCTTCTCTTTGGACAGAACTGTGAACACTAGAGACCTGGAAATAATCTGATTGCACTTCAGTAATCCAGTGTTTTGTCAAGTACCGAAGGCCTTGTTTTGAAAAGCTGCTTGTTTACCTTTATCCATCTTCAAGTTTGCAAAAAAACACCAGGGGAGGGATGATAAACTAATTTGCACCTTGAAACATTTCAGGGAAACTGTTGTGCTAATGTTCGTTTAGCTATTGTTAGATAAGGTTTCCTAGTTCAATTATTCCTTGTTTCCTCTTTACAGACTTTACAGTAACCTGATTGAGTCTTTTTTTTTAAATTTTCCTATCAGTATCATGTAGAACATGCCACTGGAGGCTCCCCACTTAGCCACAGACTTTGCATATTTCTAAAATGATCTTGATAAAATAAAAGACTCACTCAGTGTATGTTAAAGCTGAACTCCCTTTTTAATGTCTGGAAAAATGTTGTTGCTTGTTGGTTCATGTGCTATTTAAAAATGCAAAACTGAGTATCTTCACTTCTGAATGGAGAAGAAAAATTCCTTGTTATCTAATATGAAAATTTTGGCAGTTTCAAAATGGAAGTGTTCATCACTAATATGTTTTAATCTATTGGCAAACATCAAAACATTTTTCAGCACGTGCTCTAATATATTACAAAAATGTTGAGTCCATAGATTTGTCTGTCCGTGCAGTTTAAGGTGTCAGGCTTTTAAAAAGTGTTTTCCTTTTGAATTACTTATTTATCTACACTTACTGAAGTATTATTTTATTGTGTACATAACAGTATTAGACCATTGAAGTCACATTTTGTTCATGTTAATTATTCTAAGTGTTCCAGTTCCAGCTCTATATCAGCGGCTGCAAGCTGCATAGATATTTCCCTTCCTTTAAAACCTGCATTAAATAATCTATTTAACCTGAACTTGCCTGCTTTTTTCAGCATGAAGAGATTAACGAAGCATCTTCTGAAAATTGCTACTAAAAGTAATAATGCAGCCTTGTTCTGATGTCTCCTGTAACAGATAGACTGGATAGGTGATTACTTTAAAGAGTAGCTGTCTCAAAACCTGCTACCATTGGCTGATCCCTCAATTCCAGTGATGCATCCAAGAGCAGCTGTGTTTGCAGTGGGTTTGCTGGAACTACACCCGTTCTTTCCTCGACACCTCATTGCGACAGGAGCCCTCAGCCTTCTCCCTCTTGCTGTTCAGAAATACTGTAGAACTGTTTTAGACTTTAGAGCAGTGCCTTAGGTAAAAGGAGAACTGTATTTTTGTATGATAGCTGTTTGTTCTGGCAGAGACAATCATTCTAACAAAGATGCCGATATTTTTTTCTGTGCTGAGATTTGTTGGATGGTCTGATCCAGCCCTGTGTAAATACGTGCACACAGTTAAATAAACTTTGCAGTTGAACAATGCTTTATTTCTGTAATGTTCAATGTGACCTTACTAGGCCTCTCCACCCTTTGCCATGCTGACCTGCCTTGGGATGCACTCTGGTGCTGCTCTAACTGCTCCAGCTGCAGATTCCTAAATTAGCAGCCTCTGTGTGGTTGAGAGGGGATTTGCACTAACACCTTCAGCTCTTGCTGTGTTTGTCTGTGCTTATGGCGTGTTCTGAACTGAGGAATTCTTTAACATGCTTTTCCCTGCCAGCCTTTGCCTGTTCCCTGCAGCAGCAGCATCTCTGTGTTGTGAGGGTGAGTCCAGCAGTGGAGCAGTGACCAGCAAGGTGCTGCCTGTTCATTTTCCTGCAAGGGTTCTTTATCAGTAGTTGAAAGAGAATGGCTGGGCCAGATCCAGTTGATAAAGTATTTCACTACTGTGTTAAAAACCCACCTCCTTAAACCAGCATTCAGGTTGCTGAAGCATGGTAGATCTGTGCATGAACAGTGGCTGTACATATGCTCTCCAAAGGGCTTTTTCACACAGGCTGTTTCTGGCAGATGGTCCAGTGTCAGTTATCTATTTCAAAAATTAATTAGTTTATGGAAATTGTTGCTTTAGTCCTCAGATATTTAAGGGTGTAATGACAGCACAGCTGACTCTTACTTTGCCAGTATCAGTGTAGTAGACTTGGTTTCAATAGCTCAGCCTTAAGACACATCAATCATGTGAGATGGCACAACGAAAAAAAAAATAATTTCCAGACTATAGATTCCAAGCAGGCACTAGTCTCACTTTATTCAGTCACTAAACATACACTGACATGATAGGAGAGCTAGCCTTGTCTGAGCTATTTTTAAGGCACTTGTAAATGCATGTGCATGTTGTAGGTGAAAGATTTACTACTTGTTAATGGATTAATAATTGTACATAGACAGCCTTGTTTAAACAATGATATAAAAAAAGCTGATGAGGAAAACTTGCAGGCAAACCATGCGGAAATCAAGACTGAAACAAGTTTATGGAAACTTAACTAAGCTAAATGTCACTGCCAAAACATTGTTATCTGTAAGATGAAGCCATTCCTTACATATGCTGCAATGTGGTGTTGTAGAGTAAGCTAAGGTATTTATTACTTATTAATGCTGTGGTGTTTGTTATGTATCTGTACTTGCAGGAGCATAATAATGGATCCCTCTGATCCCAGGTGCAATCTTTGTATCTCTGTGTCGGAGGTGCATGCCTTGTCAAACCCACTTCAGTTAAGTGCCAAGCTTAATCGTATACCAGATTAGTTTAAAATTAAATTTGTTTTAGTTTAAGCCACACACAGATGATGCAGTGTGTGGATCTCTAAATCTAACAGCATTTCAAGACTTTATACTAGGAGTTACTTGGAAATAAGGTTAGATTTTTGCAAGGCTACATGCTTTTGTACTGCAGGAACTTCAAAAGTCAAACCCAGTATAGTGAGGCTAATTTAGTTCTTACACTAAAATGGAAAAAGTTAAAATTCTCAACATGCAAAAACCTGCTCTTTTACCAGGACTGTTTGGGAAAGCAGGGCTTTAAAATCCATCTTACATCTGCTCATTTACAGTCGTTTGGGACACTCAGCACAATAAATTTTTCCATTATGGCAAACAAAGCGCTTGTTGGCCAGACCACGGGCACACTTTGTGCATTTGAAACAGTAATCGTGCCAGGATTCATCTTCGTAGTTAACCACACTGGTTCCTCTTCCAAATCCTGCTAGGAGAGAACACAATTATAGGACGGCGATAGTAGCTTTGCCTTGGCTGGGTTATCCCACCAAACAGCACAGCCTGTTCCTGCTGCCCCAGTGCTTCCCTAGGCTTGCAGGACACAGGGGGTGTCTGAAACACCAAACTGGCAACTGAGGCATGGTTTTGTTGCATCTCCTGATGTTTCTTGGAGAAGAAACATAAGCATAAGGCTTGTATGGCTTGTCTCTGCAATAATCTTTTTCCTTTGGCTCCTTTCTCCAGCAAACAGTCATGGAGAGAGGTGGAGCAAGGACAGGTTGGGCTAAATACTTCTGGGCTCAGATCCATGCTCCAAAATGCAGGATGGAATGTGAGCCTCATGGGACTGCCAGAACAGTGCCCACATTTCAGGGCTGAGCTCTGTAGCCCAGCAAGTTTTAAGTGTAAAATACGTCAGAATGGGTACAAATGTCCCTTTGGGACAATAAAACATCACTTGTTTTAGACTTAAGGGTCCCAAACTAAGATATGGGTGGGAACAGTTCTGGCTGGAGGAGTTTTGAAAGTAAACTTGGGACTTGCAGAGGCTGAAGAGCTCAGTTACTAGCTCAGCCTCCATCCAGCACAAGCACATGGCTCAGAGTCAGATCACATGTAAAATCCTGGGACTGGGCTTGGGTTACCAGTCCTGCTTCTGATGTTACCCATCCCTTGGCTCCTGACTTTGGGGGATCACTGTCCTGACCTTCAGCACCCACTGCCCTTGAGCTGCATGTAACCCAACATACCTGTAATAGGATTCTTGCATCCAGCACACTTCTTGGCAACACACTCCTTGTAGCATTCAACACAGTAAAACTGATCCTCCACAGCTGTGAAGCGCTTCCCACCCAGTTGCTTCTTGCAGTTGGAGCAAATGAAGCACTCGGAATGCCAAGGCTGTTCCTGGTAAGTGAGGCCTCCAGAAGTGATGGGCTGGGAGAGAAAGAGGTGTGAGAGAAGAGGCAGAGGTGTGGTTTAGAATCAGCAAAGGAGAAAAGAGGTGATGCAGGTGTGGTGTGTAGGGTAGGAAGGCTTTGTCATGGAGGAGATCTTTTCTGAAGTTTGCATCAAAATTTAATTGCACAGTGCAGTTGAGTCCCTCTAACCTGAAACCCCACATACCTGGCACTTTAATAATACTTTATTTTACCTGCAGGAACTGAAATTCCACACTAATCAGTTGCAGAAGTTGTAAAACAGTTACTGTTTCACTTCTTGAATATTCAGTACCACTACAGAGCTTAAACTATCCCCAAGGCAAGTGCGAGAGTGGTATCACTTGGTTTCTGCCATCAGCTAACCCAACCACCCCTGCCCAGATCCTGTAATGTACAAGAACCATTGGCTCTCCCATAACTCCCCCAGCTGCTGGCACCAATATCTCAGGGGAAGAACATCAGCACTGGTACAGCTTCAGCATGGTCTGTCTGCTGGTTCCCCCTCCCAGCTCCCAAAAGGCACACGAGGACTCATTTTGGCAGCTGCCTCTGCAGAGGGGAAGGACTTACATTCTTGCACTTAGCACAGGTCTTGGCAAACTTGTGCTCATGGCAGGAGACACAGTAGAATTCATCACCCTTGGGGAAGAAGCTTCCAGATCCAATCACTTGCTTGCACTGGCTGCAGGTGAAGCAGTCCTTGTGCCAGACCATCTTCTTGTACTCAACATTTTGGTCTCCTACAACAGATAAAAATAACTTGTTCAGTCAGATTTCAGGCCTGTGACAAACCCTTGCCCCTGTGCAATCTAATGTCTGTGGGCAAGACCTGTCCATAGCTGTGCCCAGGATTCCACTGGAATGCAGACAAGGGATGAGCTGTAATTTCTGTATCTGATTTTACCCAAGGCCTGCAAGATTTTCTTAAAATAGTTATCAGATCAGCTGCCTGAGCCTTTTAGGACTTCAATTTACCGAGCAAAGCTTTTAGTAGAAATGGTTTAAGACTGACATAAGAGTTAATTATCCACATGAGGGTTAACTGCAAAGCAATCTTTCAACACTTGAATAAAATGGACAGGTGAGAGCAACAGTCAAAATGTACTATCCTGAGGTGCTCCAGCCTTCCACTGTGATGCCCAAACCCCTAACTGCAGCCTCCACAGCCTGATAAACCATCCTGGTTATGGCCTACAGCAGAGCATGGCCCTCAGACCCCTGTGACTGGCACAGTACCTGCAATAATGGGCTTGAAGCAGCCCTTGCACCTGGGTGCATCCTCAGCAGCAGTGCAGTTGCTGCACCAAACCTTGTTGTTCTCCCGCAGCATGAAGGGCTCGTTGACCAGGGACGTGTAGCACTTGAAGCAGCGGAAGCAGCTGTCATGCCAGTAGCGGTTCTTGAAATGCAGCTCCTGCAATGAACAGAAAGGGAGGGAGTGAAAAGCTTTTCTCTCCCCCTGAGCAGCTCTAAAGCAAAGCTCCTGTCTCACCTGCCTGGGCAGTAAAGGATGGATTTGTTGTTCCTAAGTTTGTCTGATTCAGTGGGTAGAGCTACAGCTCCTCTTCAAGCACTTAAGGGGAGAACATTTAACCAAAGTCACTGACACAATCACATTCACTTTGGAATTTCATGGGGGCAGAATACTCTCCAAACCAACAGCTTGGAGATTCAAAGTTCTGCAAGTGTAGGCTTCTCTTGTTCTTACATTCCCTCTAGTTCAGGTATACATTATTATTACCATAAACATTTGTCAGGCCCTGAAGGTATATGCTAATGACTTCAGTAACATCATATTTCTATACATAAGCAACAAGCCAATTTCCAGTTTTCATGGTGATCAAAACAGTTTCAATCACTAGGCTTGCAAATATTTTCAGGTCCTGTAATTTGTGTATCTTCATGTCCTGCCTGGTGTTGCAGTGTCTGAACATCTGAGATATTATAAATTAACATAAGGAAAAAAAAAAAAACCCAGCAGAACCATCTTGCCATCCAACTGCTCTCAATATATAGATATAGATATGTATAGAGAAAGAACTCCTGATTTCCATCATGAAGTAATAAGCATCTGACAAACTGACAGAAATTAGACCTCAGTGCTTTGCCCAGATGAGTTTTGCAGGCCCTGTGCAGGCTGGCTCCCTGCAGTTCTCTCTCCAGGGAATTCAGTATTTGTAGCAGTTCGTGTGGCTGAATCTAGACCCTGAAATGAGGTCCTGTGCCACAGCAGCCCACCATGAGCATCCCTGTGCACGCCCCTGCGCCGCTCTTTGCCCGATGAGCACACGGCTGGCAGCCAGAGGACTCCCAAAGAACTGCTCTTTC